GGAAATTATTTACAAAATCCTAGTGTTTAACTCACTCTCTGATAACTATATTTATATTAATTTTGCAGTACTAGGGATCAAACCTAGGGCCTCCTTTGCACATATATTCTCGATGCTGTAGTTCAGGCTTCTCCTCTTGCTTCAGCCTCCTGAGTTCTGGGTTTACAGACATATTTTGATTATGTAGGTAAACTTCTATTTCTCCATCTGTATTTTTAATTTTCTTGCTGGTCTTTTGAGATAGGGGCTCACTTTGTAGGTCAGGCCAGACTTGAACTCAGGCTGGCCTCCAATTCACAGAAATTTTCCTGCCTCAGCCTCCCAACTCCTGGGATTACAGGTGTGTATCACTATGCCTGTCCTCCATCTACTGTTGTCAGTCCATCTGGTGAAAAAAGATAGTTTGTAATTCCTCGTTCTCTACTTCCACATGCAACCTCTCCTCGGCTTTACCTGTGCAAATGTCAAGATTTGTGAGTACTTGTGATCTTCCACTGCCACTGCAACCAAGTCTTCCTAGTTTTTCTTTTTTGATACCGGGAATCGAACTCAGATCTTTGTGCTTACAAGGCAGGCGGCAGAACCACTGAGCTAAATCCCCAGCCCTCTTCCTAGTTTTTCTACAGGGTGACTCTAAAAGTTGAAATTCGACAGACAGTACTTACATTGTGGCTGTGTAAATGTGAGTTCAACTCAGGTCAAACAATGGGCTAGGTCTAGACTTTTTTTCTCCACACACTCGATTCCATAATGCATGTGTCACTCCGAGGAGGAGAAAGTATCAATTTTAGTATATGTGCTGCCAAGGCAGCACTCAAGGAGAATGTATCCAGCCCTGAGGTCCTTAATTGAGACTGTATCAATTAAATATAATCATGGTTTAAGATATTTTGTTTTTCATTTAAATCATGGATCTATTCTTCAGCTTTAGAACTGGAAATTCTGCTTCTTTTTGCACTCTTTCCCTGTATTATATGCTATCCTTTGAATATGGTTTATCCCCTTTGAAACTCGTGTTGAAATTTAATCTTTATTATGAGATATTAAGAGGTGGCACCAGGTGGAAACTTTAAGAGGTGACTAGGACTCTGCCCTCATGCATGGATAACCCATTCATTGATTAATGGTCTATCTCAAATAGGTCTGCTATAAAAGCCAGTTTGGTTAGATCTCTCACGTACGCCCTGTCTCTTGCCATATGAGGTCCTGTGCGACACCAGGACTCTGCCAGCAAGAAGGCCATCACTGAATGTGGCCATTTGACCTTGGACCAGAACCATGACATAAAGTAAACCTCTCTTCTTTTAAATTACTCAGTGTATATTCGCATGTCATCAGCAACAGGAAAGAGATGAAGGTCTATCTTTAATTTTTTCAAATTATTGTTCATACCATTTATTCAGTTCAAGCCCCTTTTCCTTCTTCTCCCTAGACTCACACCGGGGTGTCATCCTCATACCTCTATTCACTGATTTGAGTTAGAATCCACTGTTTGTTGGGCTGGAGGTGTAGCTCAGTAGTGAGTGCTTGGCTAGCATGTACAAGACCCCAGACTACATCCTCAGTACCAAAAAATAAATCAGTTTCTTAAATATAATTTTGTCTTCTTCCTAATTTACTCCTACCATTTTCTGATGTACATCCTCTATATTTATTTATTTAGGTATCAGGGATTGAACTCAAGATCTTGCGCTTACAAGGTGGGTGGAGGAACCACTGAGCAAAATCCCTGGCCCACATCCTCTATTTTTTAAGAAAGGGCATGTAATGTGGAGGTCAACTTTGCACCTCAGAATCAGACTTTAGTCTTTATCCTACTGATACACTGAAGAATAGTCCTGTCTGGATATAGATTCAATGCAGAAATTATTTTCTCTCAAAACTATACAGGCATTACTCCATTCAGTCTTCTAAAATTCAGTGTTATTGGTGAAAAGTCTATAGTCACTTTGATACTTTGCATGCTTTTTTAAAAAAAAAACTTTACAGATCGCATTCTCTACATTCTGATATTTGTAGGTATGGATGAGTTTTCATTCATTCATTATCTTGAGCACAGAGTGATGATATATATCTTTCAGTTCTGGAAATTATCTCATTTTTTTCTATTCCATATTTTATTTATTCTCATTTTCTGGGATTCCTAATAACTACCACCCATAGTCCTTTTAGAATGATCTTCTGTGTTTGCTTTTTTTCTCCTTGATTTTCATCTTTTCATATTTTTGCACAATATTTTCAGATTTTAAAAACCTTCTATTAAGGCTGGCATGGTGGCACACACCTGTAATCTAGAGCTTGGGGAGTCTGAGGCAGGAGGATCTTAAATTCAAGCCAGCCTGGGAAACTTTGTGACCTAGCAAGACCCTGAGAATATGAAAATAGAAAAGGGGGACCAGGGATTTAGCTCAGTGGTTCTGCCACCTGCCTTGCAAGCAGGAGGACCCAAGTTTGAAGCCTGGTACCTAAATAAATAAATAAACAAATAAAAGGGGCCAGGGAATGAAATGCATTGCTTATACCCTGGGTTCTATCCGCAGTACAAAAACAAACAAACAACATCAACTGTGTAGCCAAGACCTTCTCCTGGTGCACAATTTTTACCATTCTCCCGGTTTTTCTTTGAGTAGAAATTCTGCCTAGAAACATTGTAGATCCTAATAGGGAAAGGATTCCATCTGGGCAGGGAAGGGCTGATGGCCAACTGTTGGCCACCCCAAATCCTAGAATAAGGAACATTTATTTTATTATGGATGCCAGCATACATATTAGAAGTCAGAATTTCTCTAAAAAAAATTGGTTCCATTTCTTCAGAGGCAATATATATGGTGGAAAATGCCTTTTGGTGAGGAAGGTGAGTGAGGTCGGGTCATCAGCTGGTGTTGCTCATTTAGCTTGCAGACCTCCAAAAATTCCAAATTTCCACCCCAGCTCTCCACTCGCCTCTGCTCAGTGACCAAGGACATTGCCTGTCTTCAGTAGCCAAGCAACTAGGCTTGGATGGCACAGCTCCCTTCATAGTCTCTCTCTCTCTCTCCCTCCCTCTCCACTACTTTTATTTCAGTGGGATCTGAAGAGACAAAGGAGTGTGACTGGTCTTGCAGCAGTGTTTTCTTTTCTATTTGTTCCACACAGCAGGCACACAGATTGACATGGTAATGTCTGATTCATCAAAGTGGAAATCTATGAATTGTTGACTGAATCTCAGGATCCTATCTTAAACACAGGGAGCTTATTTCAGAGTTCTGGCTTCAAGAGCCCTGACCTCAGAGCTGCAGAGAGAGATGGGAAACAGGGTGGAGTTGGACTTACTTAAAGAAAGAACAAGCTCCACTTCTGTGTAAGTCAGAGTTTATCAGCTGAGGAGGCTGTCTGGCAACCTCAAGGGTTGGGGCTTAGGGCAAGTACTGACTCCTGTGGCTGAAAATGCAAAAATCAAGAAGTTTCTCAGCACCAGAGCTGCTAAAAGCATAATCCAAACTCCCCAGAGACTATATACTTTCTCCCAGTACCAGCGAATGAACTCAGAACCTTGGCACAGTGCCACAGAGCTACATTCCCAGCCCCTGCATCTCACTCTTCTTTCCTTGACCTTTTCTAATTTTTACCTAATATTTTCAGAAAAAATTTACTTCTAAGGGCTGGGGGTGTAGTTCAGTGGTAGGGCACTTGCCTAGCATGCCCAAGACCCAGGAGTTGATCTTAGTCCTGAATTGGTAAGGAAAAAAAGAGAGTCAGAACCTTGGATTTAGCTCAGTGGCACAGTACCTGCCTGGCAAACACAAGGTCCTGAGTTCGATCCCTAGTACCCCCCAACAAAGAGGCAAATGTTGTACCCTTGTTTTGATTGCTTTGCAGCATTCCATGATGCAAGGATGAGCCTTGGGCTCTGCTCCTGGCCTAACACAGTGGATACATCTTAGGATTCTACAGAGTGCTGGGCAGACATGGCTTTGTTCAAAAGGTCTGTGGGCAGAGACTTGAGATAGTTCTGCTGTGCTTGTCTAGCAGGCAGATCTATATCACCAGGAAAAATAAATAAATAGTAAGAAAATAAAAATTACAATATCTACGCCAGGGATTTAGCTCAGTAGTCCCACCATCTGCCTCGCAAGCACAAGGACCTGAGTTCGATCTCCACTAACAACAACAACAAAAAAAACCAATATCTAGCCAGTCATGGTGGTGCATGCCTGTGATCCCAGCTCTTGGGAAGCTGAGGCAGGAGGACTGCTGTGAGCTCAAGGCCAGCCTGTAGCAGAAACACTGTCTCAAAAAAAAAAAGAAGAATTATAATATTTACGTTTTACACTGTTGGGGAGATAGACAATGCTCTAGTAATCAAATACATCATCACAAATTGGGATAACTAAGAGGAAAAGGGCACATGAATAGAAACCAAGGGGAGTTGGGGATCCTAATTTTAAAAGATGACCTGAAAAAATTCTTTGAAATGACGCAAGCTCCCCCAAAGCAGGGGTGGAAGCCTGAGTGTTCTGAATATAGGGAATAACTGTGTTGAGACCCTGAAGCAGAAGCTGAAGGGCAGCAGGTGCTGGAACAGAGAGGAAGTGAGTAAGAAGAGAGCCTCAGGGAGGAAGGGCCTAGGCTGAAGGACTTGCACATGCAAGTGCCCTCTCACTGAGCTGCACCCCCAGCCCACCCCAATATTGCTTTCTACTACTTTTCACTGTAAATGATCAGAAGTGACCATTACAGACTAAACGAATCTTTGAGGACCTTGCTGTTTACAAAACTGTTTTCAGGGCGAAAAGGGACAACTTTTACCAAATTCATTTACTGGACTCCTGTGTAGCTCTGCCTAGAGCTCCACTCGCTCTGCTGTTAGCTGAAATGGCGCCGCGTTCCCCAGCCAGGCCGTCGCGGGCACACGGAGGACGCGCCATTTCTCAGCTCTGCCCTCTCTGGCTGCCAGACACCGAAGTCTCCACCAACTTCGAACTGCTTTGCTGAAAGAAGTGAACTCAAGACCTAAGTGAATGGATGTCCGGACGCTCTTTTCCAGTTACTTCCTGGAAAGAACAGTCTTAAATGCCGCTGAAAATCAAAGTGAGTCCACAGCTGAGGAGGAGGAGGAGAGCAGTGCCCGCGAGGGCGCGGAGTGGGGCACTGTCACCACCACGGGGACTCGTGCGGGCTACTCCGGTCGGAGCGCACAGGCAGGGCGAGCCCGGGAGGAGTTCGGGCCCCCAGCCCAGTCACAGGCACCCAGACCTGGGTGGAGTTCCTGCTCGTTCCCGCTTTCGCTCCCTGCTCCCTCTCGTTGGCCTCTGCTGGAAGGGCCACCAGATGCACAGTCCCGTCGCGGCCGCCCTCACGCACCCCGAACCTCCGCCCGCCGAGGAGAGG